ACTATGCTGAGCTGCCTACAAGGCCAAAAGACATTAATTAGGGTTTTCAGTTTCGGGTTTACTGTAGGGATTCGGAAACGAGTCCATTTGCAACTTGAGCCCGAGCACACCATCTAGAGAATCCAAAATCCCAACTACACGCGAAAAAATTGCTGCCCCTCCACCTCCGGCCCTCCATTGCAGATCGCGCCTGTGAAGCTATGATGCCACAAAGAATTGAGCCCGCGAAGACCCTGTCAGCAGCGAGGATCAGAAAATGCTTGTGCAGTTTACTGACGTCGACCCACAAAAGACATGCCTGGGCGATTGCTCGTCGAATCCTGGGCCTAAGACTTCCTCGGCCGTCACGACAAGCAAAACTTGACTTGCCTTCCGGCTTGAAATGCCCTGGTCGGGTCCGGGTACTCATGCTCATCTGTGTACCTCTGCGGCGAAGCGAGTAAAGCAGACCCGAGTTGACCGAATGTACTGGTAGGCTTTACGGAACTAGTTGCAATGTCAAAGACTCCCAACACTTCCAGCAGTGAGCACATGGGCTTGCTCGGTTTGGGCGGGATCAGCTTCCCGCCTGACCTGCAGGCAACCACTGCCGAAGCCGTATCAACACTCCGTCTGAAAGCCCGGCTTTGCGCATCTACGAGCTGGGAAACAGCAAGCTCACCTCAGAATGCGAAACCCTTCTTCAGCACCCAGGTGTCATGCCACCCATCTAACGGGAAAATCCGAAAAAACTCCCAAACCCCTCATTTCAACCGCTTGAGCTTGCAGCAGCCGGAGCCGCCTCTGCGGCAGTACCGGAGGCGGTCCCGGACGAGGAGCAACAGGCGGTCGCAGCTCGAGCTGCGCAGGTTGGCTGAATCCCGTGGTGCTTTGACGATCGCGGGAGGTTGCGTCAGAATGCCAAGCTACACCAGAGCAACAGGGCATGCTTTCGCCTTGGCATCGCTGACCACCTTTTCCCTGCACAGGTTGCCATCTGGCATCTACAGCTTCGGAGCATTCACAGTTGGAACGTGGATGTTGCCTCTGCTGCTTTGGCGGCAGCGGATGATGCTGCTCCTGCAGTGTCAGCAGCGAATCAGAACGTCAATGAAATTGAGCCTCAGAGATCCTACAAATCCGAGGGCAATGGCAGAGCAAGAGGCGGTCCCTCGGCAGGGGCGGCGGTCTGAGGCCTTCCGGAGCCTTGCAGGCACCTGGCACCGGGGCGTCTTGGAGTCACAGGCACAACTGCTTGCAAAAACTCGAAAGCGAAGCATCCACTGTGCCGCCGTTCGACACAATTAGAGGAGGCGTTGCGATAATTTGGAAGAGTCATCGTTCTCCTCGAGAACTTTCTCAAGTCCATCTTCATCAACTCCATCATCAAAATCATCATCATTTTCATCATCATCAACATAAATATCATTAGCACAATCGTGATTCGTGAAAAAGCAACAGTGCACATGAGAACAATCACATTCGAGGTGAACATGGTAAACATATGAATCCTGATAAACCGCTCTTGTCGTCATCGTCTCTACTGTTCTCGCCGTGTTGCAGTAGCTGTGAAGAAGGAAGCTAAGAAGCGCAGCTAACACAGCGATCATATGTCATTAGTGTTAATTAGCACTGGTAGTGCTAGTGTTAGTAGAAGTCGTCGTCGTCGTCGTTGTAGCAGCAGGAGACGTAGTCGCAGCTGTAGCTGCAAGATCAACAAATCCAGACTAGCACCATGGACACTACTTAGTTGCAATAGTAGTCCTACAGGCAGTACTCATGGCACGCAAGCATGCAACAGCAACAAATAGTGAAACAACCGCAGTAACACTGTCAGATACACATCGGCCACAAGAAGCATGAGAATACAAGAATAAGAGCTAACAATAGAGCAACAACTGCGACAATGACAACGACCAACACCACGTGTGTAAGGACGCTGGCAGTGTTACGGGTGTCTGGCAAACTTGGCCACTGCCTGGAGGTTTTGGGCCGAGCACCGGCCGATCCTCCTGGGCTTTTTTCGCCCTCTCCGCTGCTTCCTCTGCCGCTGCAGCTGCAGCATCTTAGCCGGCAGCACCACGATGCAAAAGGGGCTAAGCACAACCGACACAAGAAGTCAATTCTAGCAGGCAAGCATGGGCGCAATCATGCTGCACATTCTTAAATATGGTCGTACATTATAGCAGCTACTTTTGCCTTGGGCACTAGCTGGCCGCCGCTGCGGCCCGCTGCTTTGCGCGTGCCTGCAAGTATGGCCCGTCGCATGCATCCAGTGCAAAGAACACATCGGCACTGGACTTGAAGCGTCTTTCGCAAAAGAAACCTTGGCCCGCAATCCTACCTCAGTCATCTCGTCGATGTCTTTGAGTTTCCGGATGAGCTCAGCCTCATCCGAGCAAAGGCCGAATCATGAGAGCGCGCCACTCCCAAACATAAAACATTAAGCCATCATGAATCATGGATGCAACTTCTGAGCCGACTAGGAGACAGACCTCAGAAACAGAACGCCTCACTGAAACGAAGCACGCGGCCGAGACATACAAATAAGACGGCTTTTGGCAGGTCAGACCTGTAGACCTGTAGACTCTAGACATACTGACATATTTCCTTACAAGATCGAAACCTGTTAAAAAGTCACTGGGTTCCCACCGTCTTCAAAAAGCATGAAGTGATGCGCACAGACGGCCGTAAGTGCCAACAGAACCGACGCTAAGCAGAAGCTCGGAGCCGCACCAGCATCCGCTGGTACAGGCTTTTGTCCTCAGGCGTCACAGAGGTCAAGCCTAAAAGCTTAAACCTCGTTGTCAAAGCCCTAAACCCTGAAACCCACATGCTAAACAACAAGTCGAAGGAACCAAGCATTGTATCGCTACGAGTTGGGTGCATGGAGCTGCTTAGCATGATCGGGGAGTTTCGCGAGGACGTGCTGATATTGGTGACCGTATGTCACCACCTTTGCGAGGGATGACTCCCTGCTGTCATTACAACTACTATGATTACAGTTTTGCTACGAATAGAAGCAAACTCAATCATGCTTGTGAATATTGCTATTCTGATGGGTGCTTTTCCACTTTTTCGTTCGGGAAGTTCCTCGATTGCAGCCCAAAACGCCCTCCAACTTCCGTAACCGAGCTCAAGTCGCACGAGATCATTTGGCCCCACAATAGCCACCAAACTCATCTCAGGCCCAAATCATGATACTGCGTCTAAACTCCATTTGCTGAACTACTGGTATCATGTTTGCCATATCGGCATATCACTATGATGACTACCACTGTTGTGAATATTGCTACAACAATATTATGAGCAGAAACTCATTGCAGAGCTGAATTTCGGAGCCGAGGGAGAAAAGGAAGGAGCTTCCACGCCTCGCCGCTCTCCTCCGCGGCCTTGAGCTGCTCGACCACCTGCAGCACTTACCACTGCCACTGCCACTGCTGCAGCTGCTGCCACTGCCACTGCCACTGCTGCTGCTACTGCTGCAGATCCTGCTGGTATTTCTTATGATGATGATGCTGCTGCTACCGTGACAACGACGACCACGAGGACGACGACGACAAAAACAATACTAACACAAAAAAATATTACCCAGCGAAATAGTGATAGTCATGGTAAGGGTACTCAGGGGTACAGCAGCCGCCTGCGCAAGCTGTGCTTCCAGCAGCGCTCGTTCGGAGGCGCCGTTCTCCTGACACAGGAATGCTTTCGAGCTTTAAAACTTGACCAGGGCTTAGCCCTCCTGGGCGGAACCAAAGTTGACTGAAGTTGATCTCACAATCCGATCATATCTGAGTCAGAGGCTTGTCCCGGCCTCGTCTAGCCGGCGGAGGTTCACAGGGCGCACCTCGGCACAGGCGGACTCAGATCCGTGCGTCGTGGCTTTGCCTCATGAAAGGCCTGTACACGAAGCCCGGCGGTGAGGAAGCCAGGGCTCCTGCTGCCTTGTTCTCCAGCTCGCCGTCCAACTTCACTCCAAACCTCTGGAGACGGCACTTGACGGGACCCTGGCGGCACCGAATCCTGAAGCCGCGTTGGATCCTACACTTCCTCCTATTCCTTCGGATTCAAAAGGTCAGCTTGATGCTGGCATCTAGCGCCGTCATGACGGTGATGGTGATGAAAGCGATGATGAGGATGACGAATTACCATCATCATCACCTGCAGCACCGTGTTCCAAGGCGCACACCGCTGGGTCTCTTCGACATAGGCTACAATTCGCCCTGTCCGACCATTTAATTCTTTGGCACCTGGCAAGCAAGCAGCGGCTCTTGATCTTTGAGGTGTTGATGCCAAAATGTGCAAAACAAGGCCACGTTGTTCGTGCGAAGGCAGCGAACCCAGGACAGCCCGCCGGGTGGTATTTACACAGAAACCTGCCCTGTTGCTACAAAGCTCCGATTCTGAGATCACGAGACAAGCACTTCGCCATTCGGCGTTTCTGATTCGAGCTAATCCACAAGCTTCTGGGAGGCAGAGACAGGGATTCTAGGTAACTTGGCAGACATGCGCAGCTAGCACCTTGCAAACCGTGGATCTTCACTTCGTCACCGATCTGAAAATCCTCGTCATCACTCCTGGAAAGCGCGTATGCACATAAGGCCAGTGATCAGCAATCTCCAGCCTGCACAGGCTTCCCTAACCCGAGGGTCCTGTCATCGTAGTCATAGTTTGTCTTTCTCACCATACCAGCACCCTCGTTGGGACAGTGTCTTGACTCTTGACTCAGGAGAAAACACCGAAGGCAGAACAATCCCTTTTGAGATCTGCTCAGGCTCGAGCGTCGCTGTTGCAAGAGAGCGTTGCACGGCCACGAAGACCCGCCCCCTAGGTAACCCTCCCATATGCCCAGGTCTCCATCCAAAATTGTGCCTTTGAAGCACCGATAAGGCAGGCAATCGATCAATGAATACTCGTCGCGACATCAGGGTAGACACGTTCGCCACGATGCACAGAAATCTGCAATGCGACTAGCAAAATCTCTCCTGTTTCCTTTTGGCGTCGTGAAACAGTGAAACAAGCTATCTTGTCAGAGCATCGCGCTCTTCAGAGCCTGGATGCACAAGAAGTCTGCTTTCGTTAGCGTTGCAACATCGCCTTTTGCAACCATCAGCTGTCTGAAGTTTGCCTAGGTGCTCGGTTTGTCTGCTGTGCATCGCAGGACCTGGGACCTGGAGTGGAGTAGACCAACAACACACGATCGTGACATTGCTTTCAAGAGCCAGCAAAGGCCGCACAGTCTCAGGGCCCGTCCACCACGAGCTTCCTTGCTGCCTCCGTCTCGCTAGAAAGGAGCTCTTCCTTCACACCACCGCTGGGGAACGTTAACCCTGCACAGCACACGCAAAGCATGGCCTTTCATCGTCGCTCACCTGGAACACCGTGAGAAGCACCGGCAGGAGCTGCTCGAATGCCTCATCATCAGGCCCCGAAGAATATGCGGATTCATGCTAGAGACGTCGATTCTCGCAGGACTGGTGTCGTTGACACAAGACCCGAAACACGCCAAGGTGCGCTGTTGCCGTGCGGGCTGTGCGCCACGAGCTTCAGCGCGACACACCTCCGGGCCCGACATGTCAACACCATGCAGAGAACACAGGCAGCTGACACTTTGCGTGGTGCAGCAAAGAGGGTGGGTTCCTTCGGGCTCCTCTGCACTTCACGCCCCTGTCGAAAATAAGTATGCGGAGTGACTTGCTCCTGTTTGGCGACCCTTGTTCAAGCCAGCCTTCCATACTGCCACTGCGGCTCGCTGGGTCCGCCGCCGGGATCCGAGACATCCTGTCCCGTCGCACTGGGCCCCACGCGCTTCCGGACTTTCGGAAGGGGGTTTTGAAGGCTTGGGAAAAGCGATTTGCCCAGCAGAATTCTGCCCAATCTTTGCCTCCAGCGGAGCGGCGTCGGCCACCTAAACCAGGAGAAAAAGGAGAGCTAAAAAGTGAGGGAAAAGGGCGCAGGGCGTCGTTCCTTGTCGCAGTGGTGGACAAACTGGCATACCAATTCACATTCCTTCATGCCTCTTCATGACCACACAAGTGGAGAACTATCGTGCCCGCGAACTCGACAAGCATAGTTGCTTTGCCCAGAACTCACGCTGAGAATGTCTAGGCCTGATGGTGTTGCTTGGTCTGGTTTCCGCTGGATTGCCTGAGGCATAATCCTTGCCTCCGTAAGGTTAAGGCCCAGAGTTTTCGGGATCTCTTTTTTGTAAAGAGCTCATCTGTGGCTGTGTGTCTCGTCGCAGCACCGGCCGGCGATACTGTGACCGCTGACGGCAGCACAACATCTTAAATCTATTGCAAGCAGACTCCGTTCGTACGTCGGGCGCCCCGCGCATCGAAAGGCGTGGCAGAACTGCTGGGAGACCACTTTAACAAAACAACACATGCAGCACTCTGTCAGTTGCAGCTCTGGAAAGCTCGGACCAGTCCACACCTCTGTGGGGGCATCATCCAGCTGCTCCAAGCAGAAAGTCTCGACCTTAAGCCAATTCTTCTCCTATTTCTGGCAACCTCCGGATGGTGATGCCCAGAGTATGACTGCACTCATTCAGACTTGGTCTTCGCGGTCCTAGTAGTAAGTAGTGCTGCCACTTAGCGATGATACCAACGCCACTCCTTCTGCTCGCACCTCCGGCCCACGCAGCCCTCCTGAAGTCTTCCTGGGCCCGCGCCTGGCACAGAGAATTTATGGCGGTGAGGGTCAGTTGCTTCAGGGCCTTGGCAGAGGTCAGGGTGAAAGGATTCGGGCTTAGCCTTAGGGTTTGGTTTTGGATTTAAGGACTTTCTCTCGAAGATGCAAACCATGGATGGTTCAGTCAATCATGCCAGGATGGAGATCACACTGCCGCAAGCATTGGATCAAGCAGTCTGGAGCAGATAAGCATGGTAGCATGAATGAAACAGTTGTTCTTAGAAGTGCCAGAGCTTCTTCTGGACATGTGCACGTTCCAACGACGAGTCCAGGAAGTTCTTGCTTAGGATGAGTAGCTACCTAGCTGTCCAGTTTGCAGAAAACTGACACAAACCACTCAATGCATGAGACAGGGACTGGCCAATCTTTTGGTCCTGCCCCAGCCATCGAAAGAAATCTTGCAGTCGCCTGTCTCCCTGCCGTGAGCTTGAGGAACTTTTGCGGGCAATGCCTGCGAAGAAGAGCTGGCGACGTCCCGTGGCCTATCCCAGACATCTACAATATGTCAATATTGTTTCTAACAAAGCTTCTAGCAGAGCTGGTACTACTATATGATCACGGTTCCTCTGAATGCTGGCACTAGTACCTGTGGTGGAGGGGGGCCTGGTGATGCCCAGGGGTCGCTGTACCAGTCATCTAGTGCCTGAGTGAGGCAACTCCCAGACTGATCAACAGCAACAGACATTTCGGCCGCGGGCATCTTGGCCAGACCTTCAGCAACAGATTCTGGGAAGTCAGCAACTCCACCGAAACACGTAGGCTGCAAGTGCAACAACACGAAGACTTCGATCCAGCTTCCTGAAGCCAAGTGGTGGCTTATCTTGGCTCCCTGGCGAGGCTTCGATCGGCCCCATCTCGCTGGCCTGCGGTTCTTCGGCAATGGCATGACTGTGCTCAGAAAAACTCACAGCTCTCAACGAGGATGGTGAAAACAAAGGAAGCACAATCCGCACACCAATACTACCTGCAAAAGCAAAGATTAGCAAGCTACCGACGTGTCCTGCCACAACTGCTGGTTTTTGCGTCTCGCTGCGACAACATCTGCATGCCGCTGCGTCTGCAGGCGCCCTTCTTCCTTCTCCACGAGGGCTTTCTGCGCGGTGTGCCTGCTCGATCCATGGCCCTCTCGGCCTTCTGTGCTTGGCTTCGGCGATCTCCGGCTTGTGGTCCGCTGAGACCTCCAGGATCCTCCAGCCGCTGTGCCCTCGGATCACCGGGACCCATCAGCGTCTGGACGTCTTAGTCCTCTCCGTCTCCAGCTAGGGATTCACAGTCAAAAAAGCTTGCCTCGCCGTCATCTTCTTTGACAGAGGACTGCTCGGGGGGGAGCTCCAGCAGATGCACGGACGACAGTGTAGGAAGAGATCCTGGTGATAGCTGCTGTGCCGCAGTGAGAGGGCTATGCCCACCCAGCGCTTGTAGCGGCTCTCGCTCGCCTTCCTCCTCTGCAGACACAACACTGAGATTCAATTCAACTCCAAACTGATACAACAAGCTCCTCTTTGAAAGCCTTGATTGTCGTGGGGACTGCCTAAGCAAGCACATGCAACCGAGCCAGGCGACACAAAGGCAAGATCGAAACTGCTGTCTTCTCCCGGCGGGTCGCAAATAAGCCGCCTAGGCTTTTGCCGCTTGCTGGCTCTGCAGTACCCCGTGTAGGCATAGCATCTTCCTGCAGGAAAGGGCTCAGCCATGATCGGCAACAAACAGTGCCAGGCCTGGCCACTCCGGCTACGTACTCGTGCAGCAACATGCGCCTGATTCAGCTCAGACCTCGTGTGGCTGGCTGCTGACAGCGGCTCTGCAAGCTCAAGCTGACTGTCGATCGCATATTGCACCTCAGTAGGAAGGAACTGCAAGACGTTGCAACAACAGGAGCGGAGCAGGCTGTCTCACATGTAGCTCAGGCATGTCGCTTCCCGAGCTCTTCAGCCGGCAGAAGTTGCAGCTCTTGAGTGCTACAGCAAGTACTTCCACAAGGTCCTCTTGCGACTTGGGCACAGAGCCACGCCGGCCAGGTCCCTCTGAGAGCTCGTGGAAGGGCAACTCTGGTGGATCCGAGGTCCTTGGAAGGAGCTCCCCAGCTCCAGCTGCAGTCAGAACGAGAAGTATCCCAGAAAACCCAGGAGTCCCTTCTGCGCCGAAGCTCAGATGGCTGTCTGCCAAGAGCAGCTGGCGCGCGGATTCGTAGAAGCAGTGGGCCTGGAAGCCCTCCTACGAACCAGCAAAAGGAACAAGAATCCCCGCTAAGCGGTCTAGGGCCCCTCACGAAGCGCAGCGTCTGCAGCACGAGTACTGTCAGCACGGCCAGGCTGAGATCTCCGGCGAGGCCCCAGTTCACGTCCGTGCAGGCACGACACGCCTTCCGGCACTTGGCCATCCTCCGCTGCAGACGAAACGGACGCGAAGGGGAACAAAAAAAAGCACTTCCATGTGCAGACACGCAGCATGTAGTCAAAGTACCTCAGACTCTCTTTTTGCAGAGGCACCGACAGCATCTGTCGCCTAATGGCGACCAACTCGCGATGCTTCTGCCAGGCTGCTGGCTCTCCTTGGCGCAGTCACCACGGGAGGCCAAGGCCGCACATTCATCGACCACGTTCTTGCAGCTTGTCCAGGTACCATGAACCTGCAATGAACCCAAAAGCCAAAGGCAGAGCAGGGCCGAGCAGGGCCCAGGACGGGGGCAGAGCTGTGCCTCCAGCAGTCGGCCTGACCAGGCCTCGGTCGAAGTCAGGGACCCAAAATGCAATTTAAAATAAAATCTTCGGATTCGGGTTTCTGGAGCAGCTATGCCCTAGAAATCAGGATGTGGCAGCAATGAAGATGGGGGCAGTTGCTTCGGCTACTAGTAGTTTGCGATAGCTCGAGCATCCATGCAACACTTCTTGAAAGACGAGAGGATCTCCTCTTAGAGTCTTAGAGCCTAGACGAACCCAAACAGATTTGATGCTTCGCGGTTGCGAAGCCGGGCACGGCATCTGAGCCCTTGGCGGCGAAGATGAAGAGCGACCCAAAGGCGGCAACAACAAGAGTCCATCTTGCCAAACGCGCGCGAGCCGACAGGTTCATCAGCCTGGGCAGATATCCACAGCCCTAATACAACCCTCTGTCTTTACATGGGAGCACACATGTCGTTGTCCACTCCGACCTATCGCATCGCTAGAGTGAGTGTAGATGTGGCCACAGCACCTGCCCGCGCCGACCCCCAAAACCCCTAGAAAAACTACAAAAGATCGAAGGAATGGAGGCCTTCAACTCTCAAGCCCTGCAACTCTAAACCCTGAAGCCCTGCTGCCCTTAGGTAAACCGTCCGGCACAAAAGAAGCGAAGCTCAAAACCTCTCAAACGCATCCGAGGAAAAAAAAAAAAAACATACCCAAATGAAGGCCCAAAGCTCCTAAAGCCCCCGACCCCCTAAAGGAGCCAGTAGGACCCTTTTCTAGGCACCTCACTCACGAATCCATCTAGGAACGCGGATCCTAACATGAGGGTCCTCGAAGAAAGGCGGTTGACTAATCAGGGCGTTACATTAATGTTGATATTAACACTAGTACTCATACACACACATTAATAGTAACACTAACATTAACCATACAACTAACTAGTAGACTAGCACTAACCCGAAACCCTAAGCCCTTAACCCCAAACCCTAAGCCTCAAACCCTAAATCCCAAACCCCAAACCCTAAACCCTAATGACCCCTAGACCCTAATGACCCCAAATGACCCCAAACCCTAAATCCTAAACCCTAAACCCTAAGTCCTAAACCCTAAACCCTATTGACCCCTAATGACCCCAGACCCTAACTCCTAAACCCTAAACCCAAAACCCTAGTGACCCTAGTGACCCTAATCTTCTTCCAAAGCGGCTCCGCGGGGCCCCTGGGCCAGGCCAGCAGAGCAGCGATCGCCAGGGGCGGAGTCGGAGCAAAGGCCAGAAAGGGACCCTGCAAGGGTTTAGGGCTTAGGGTTTGGGGCTTAGGGCTTAGGGATTAGGGTTTAGGGTTTAGGGTCTAGGGATTAGGGTTTAGGGTCGAGGGATTAGGGTTTAGGGTCGAGGGATTAGGGTTTAGGGTCGAGGGATTAGGGTTTTGGGGTTTAGGATTTAGGGTTTAGGGTTTAGGGTGTTCTTTGAGGACGATCGTTTAGAGTTTAGGGCTTTTTTTTGAGCGCCCTTAGAGTTTAGGGTTTAGGGCTTAGGGCATTTGGGATTTGCGGCATTTGGAGTAGGGTGCACATACACGTACGAGGTACTTATGTATGCACCATCTACATCCATCTACCCATCTGTCCATGCATCTATCTACTTATGTATTATATCTATTCATTCATTCCTTGAATAAACTATGTGGTATCTTCATTCATTTAGATAAAGATACGAATAGTGACATTCGTTCCCCTGTTGTTCATACCTATGTTCATGTGTGCATATGACTATTCAATACAGCACAAAGTTTGCTAAGGCAAACACTGAATGCTTTCCTACGGGTAGTATACTATACACACACAGAGAGAAACACACAAAACCAGACAGAACAGATTCAGAGATCGAGCGAGTCAACGAAAAGATCAGTGTTTTGAGGGAAGGCGAGTTTGTGCGAGGTTCAGATTCTGGGCTGGAACTGCGAACATTAGGTCCTCATGTCGCGGAGGGTTGGATGAAGCTGTGGAAACATGGACTGGCATGGGACGGCGGATGCTCTGGGGACGGATTGATATAGGTTGGCGTCGCACGGTGGTCTCGAAGGTTCTCGACGAAGCATGCCGGGGCTCTGGCCAATGTAGGCGAGAGCGCTTTGGCCAGCTTGGGATGCAGTGCCGCATAAAGCCCAGCGACGAGGGAGCCACCGAGAGCCGCCAGCAAGGTCGCCTGACTCTGCAGAAGGTGCCCACCAAGATACGAGCGCGGGAGAGATCTTAGACAGCGAAAGGAGAAATGACAAGGCTCCGAATATCGATCCCTATCACATCTCAAAGCCCTGGCTCTAGCCGTGGTGACGGAGCGCCTTGATGCAGGCGCGGATGGACATCGATATGCAGCAAACCTCGGCGGCGACTGTCAGACTTCAAGGAATCTGTAAGGAACAACTATCCGAAAAGTAGAAACAGGAAATCTGCCCATGTAGACCGCTTCACTGAATCCTCGAGGCTCATGTCAGCTACCCTGCATCGAAGCCTAAACCCTAAACCCTATAAACCCTAAACCCTATGGGCCCTCAATCCCTACGCCCATGTCCAAGTCACAGGGCCCCCCCCCGATATGCATTATTGGTCGGGTATTCCTAGGAAACCGGCAAATGCATACTGGATGCCTCACATCGATCTCACGGTAGCATCGATCTCATGGTAACTCAATGATAAGGGGCAAGTTCGGCACACAAGGAAATTCCC